GATTTGAATTATCAACTGATTTTTCGCGGCGCCCAAGTTTCACAACCACAAACCCCTAAGTTTTACAATCACAAACTTTGTTCTTATCAAGATAAATTTAGTTAGTAAACATATGTTTACAGCAACAAGCAGGAGTTTTTCTTGATTTAAATTATCAATTGATTTTTCGCAGCGCCTCTTCACTTTGCTTTTTTTTTTTGCTTATCAAAAATTAATTTAATTGGTACATGTGTTTACAGTAACAAGCAAGTACTTTCTTGATTTGAATTATCAACTGATTTTTCGCGGCGCCCAAGTTTCACAACCACAAACCCCTAAGTTTTACAATCACAAACTATCAAGATAAATTTAGTTAGTAAACATATGTTTACAGCAACAAGCAGGAGTTTTTCTTGATTTAAATTATCAACTGATTTTTCGCAGCGCCTCTTCACTTTGCTTTTTTTTTTGCTTATCAAAAATTAATTTAATTGGTATATGTGTTTGCAGTAACAAGCAAGTACTTTTCTTGATTTGAATTATCAACTGATTTTTCACAGCGCTCAAGTTTCACAACTGTAAACTTTGTTCTTTGCTTATTTAATTGGTATATTATAGTGCATTTCTTGATTTGTATTATCAACTGATTTTTCGCGGCGCCCAAGTTTCACAACCACAAACCCTAAGTTTTACAATCACAAACTTTGTGCTTATCAAGATAAATTTAGTTAGTATACATATGTTTACAGCAACAAGCAGGAGTTTTTTTTGATTTGAATTATCAACTGATTTTTCGCAGCGCCTCTTTTTTTTTTGCTTATCAAAATAAATTTTAATTGGTACATGTGTTTACAGTGACAAGCAAGAGCTTTTCTTGATTTGAATTATCACCTGATTTTTCGCAGCGCTCAAGTTTCACAACTACAAAACCCTAAGTTTTACAATCACAAACTTTGTTCTTATCAAGATAAATTTAGTTAGTTATACATATGTTTACAGCAACAAGCAAGAGTTTTTCTTGATTTGAATTATCAACTGATTTTTCGCAGCACCTCTTCACTTTGCTCTTTTTTGCTTATCAAAAATAAATTTAATTGGTACATGTGTTTACAGTAACAAGCGTTTTTCTTGATTTGAATTATCAACTGACTTTTCGCAGCGCCTCATCGGTACATGTGTTTACAGTAACAAGCAAAAGCTTTTCTTGATTTGAATTATCAATTGATTTTTCGCAAGATAAATTTAATTGGTACAGTGTTTACAGGGCTTTACTTGATTTGAATTATCAACTGATTTTTCGCGGCGCCCAAGTTTCACAACCACAAACCCATAAATTTCACAATCACAAACATATGTTTACAGCAACAAGCAGGAGTTTTTCTTGGTTTATCGACTGAATTATAAACTGATTTTTCGCGGCGCCCAAGTTTCACAACCACAACCACTAAGTTTCACAATCAAAACTTTATCAACTGATTTTTCGCGGCGATTATATAAATAATCTACTACTTTAATCATTGGATATTAAAGTAACCTGTAGATTATTTATATTATTTGCTCAATATTCAGTTCACACCTCTAAGTGTTTACTGTAATAAGCAAGAGCTTACATATAAAATTTATGATCGGGTCACATCTCTAACAGGTTAAGATGAAACTATAATATAAGATTATTTTAAACCGTAGATTTAAAGTAACTCAAATAGATTATTTATATTCTTTTTTTTACGGTTTGCATTACCACATGGTATACGTATAGATGCTGGTGAAATGTGGTGAAATGATTTCACCACTATTGGTGGTTGAATTGGTGAAATTGGTGAAATTAATTTCACCAGCATCTATAGATATACTGTCCGGATTTTACGGTATCACAAAGTTTTCCCTGAATATTCCTAGGCCGAAATTCGAAATTGCGCTATGGGCTAAAAACTCTAAGAGTTCCTTCATTTTAGGAATATTTTATTTAGTATAATTAAAAAAATTTAAATCTTAACATTAACATAAATTTAAATCTTAATATTAACATAATTTTAAAACTTAACATAGTTTTTAAATCTTAATTGGTAATTTTTAAATCTTAACTATTAAAATTAAAGCAAATATATAGTTGAATGTAACATTACAGTAAAATTGAATTATTGTGTGATGTCGACAATCACTGAATCACCTAAACGAAATTTTTTATCGGTAGTTTGTAACAATTAGTTGTGCGGTTTTAACTAAAATAAGTAAAGAATCTATTTAATATACCGAATCCACTGGAAAAATATATTTCGCAAATAAAAGGTACTAACCTTTTTCTTATACGTTTCCACTATTAAATCAACCAGCAATTCAAATTCACCTTTATCAACTTCTTGAAGATAATTAATTGAAATATCCAAACCTCTGATTTCTAAAAGAAAAGCATCAAAATCAATATCTTTCTTTTCTATTATCATCACAACAAAATCATAAACCTTCCTCCAACGTGAAATTTCTATAACCATTCCATCGGGAATTGATTCTTTAATCAATTTAGATATTGTCTTATTTCTTTCAAGATCAGAAATAAAAGTTTGACTTTGTATATGGTAATATAATGTCTTGAATTGACTAAGTCTAGTAAAAACTTCAGCATAGTTCATATCTATTTTATGTTGGTTTTTTTTTTCTTGTAACTTTTGATGTAAACCTCTCCATTCGTTTGAATTATAACTATCCGATTTTTTTATTGCTGGTATAGTGGAAGGGTATTCCAACGGAATTTGACTTTTAATTCGTGATTTAAAAGTATTTGTATTAATTATTTGCTTTGTTTTCTTATTAGACATTTTTCGAGCGAAACGTGCATAATGAAAAAAAGTGCGTACGTACGTACATTACTTATAAGTATAAGCTATGCATGTTGATGATCATTATGGGATATCAAATCCCAGTTTTCATAGTTAACTCCGGCGGAATTTTAATAAGTTTCATATAGTCTGTTTACGAATAAACTATGGTAGAGGTGCGATCCGTAATCCGTTTCACTAAATAAATTTACGGATATCCGTAGGAAAACGGATAACGGATCGCACCTCTAAACTATGGTTCGTAATATGAATCCATTGATTAAAAAACAACCCGTAGATTATTTTGTTATGACAAAGCTTCAGATATTAAATTCTATTCGAAAGAAACATTAAAAAATTAAAGTTTAATTTATACAAATTTAACTTTACGTTAATAAATTAAAAGCCTATTTACAAAATCTTCTTTCCTCCATAGAAAACTATTCTTTTTTATTATGCTAATATACTTTAAGCGAATGATTTTCCACACCCTTTTTTGATATTTCCACACCGTGTAGATCACTTTTTTTTTTAATATCAGAAATATCAGATGTTCAAACTATATTCACCCATAAATTCTATTCACAAGAAAACCAATCCAATTCGAATAAATTGAAACTATTTAATACGGCACTAACCCATTATAATCTGATTGTCCGAACCCACGACCCCCAGCCATTATTTCAGCAAAAAAATCTTTTATAATTTCCATTGAAACCATTTCAGGCATATACAAAAGTTCAAGTTGATTGTCAAAAGTTCCATGAACAATTGGCTCGTAAGGCTTAGTATACAAATATGAATGTTTCGACCATCTGCTCCTATAAAAAATTGATAAAATCAGTTCGAACTTCTATGCATCAATTTGAGAAAGTAAAAATACTTAACAGCAAAATCATAATTACGATAAAGGCCTCAATAATAAATATAAAAAACAGAATAATATTGCAAATACGAAATTTCTTGTGCAATTTTATCACACCTTGAAAATGTGAAAACGATTTATACCTTTCTTCTCGGAGAATTTCTTTCATATTCATTTTCGAGATTTCAAATTTTTACGAATTTTTTAATTCTTAAAGTTTTTTAGTTATTATAATCTTGTAGTTCTGAACCTCTAAAGTCATTTACTATATATATATTCATTTCACGTCAGCGCTTATATTATAATATAAATTATATAAATTAACTTTATCATAGAATACTGTATATAAACCTCGGAGTTTCATATGATGCTTGTAAAATAGGTAATACGAATAACCACAGCGAAGATGATCGAACAAAGCCTTTTCAATTCTAATTAGTAGATTAATTTCCGTTTATGTTACAACTTTTTTGGAATCTTATTGCGTAGTATTTATAGTTTTTCACATATTCATATGCTGTAAAAAATACGCGCGTATTAATTGCGTAACAGATCAGCACTATATACACGAAAAATATTATTAATCATACTTGGAGTTTCATTTTAATGGTTTGCAAAATAGGTAATACGAATAACCGCGGCAAAGATAGCATAAATTAAAACAAAATTGTTTTAATTATTTCCTTATTTGAACAAGTTCATTTACGAAAAAATGTATTAAAAGAATCATGTAAAATCTAGTTTTCAAAATCGACTAAAAATTACAATTACAAAATGTCAAGTAAAAACAGTTTAAAGCTTTTAGCATTATTGCTAAGAATCGCATATACAGCAATCTCTTATTTTATTTTTCTTTTGCTGAAAATTATTTATACAATTTTTCAGACTTTTATTTTTTTAACATCCATAATCATTGCTACTTTGATTTTTGCATCTTCGATTTTAATATTGAATATGATTCCAATTCCACCTCTCTTGTTGTTCTCTGGTATCGTTGTCGGATTTTCCATATTATTTACGTGTACTATCCACAAATCTGAATCCATTTGCTCAGATAATACGACGAAAATTAGACGTTCATCAGAACAAAAATTAATTCTGCCTATTTTCGTAGAGAATATCTCCAAACTTCATTTATCGGCATTATCTAGAAACAAAATCATTTTTAATTCTGGATTTATGCCTCTTTCTTACTTCAATATGATTTCCTCTTTTTTATTTAAAATAAACATAAAAAATTTTTTCGACAAATTAAATATCAATATTTATAAAAAGACTGATGAAAATTTTCAGTTTAAGCCTAATCACATTGTTAAGAATATAGAAGATGATAATATCGAGCTATATGATCCAGAGATAAAACAAAATTTAACCATTCTATTCGATCATCTTCAATATTGCTATTTGTATAAAAAGACATACTCTACGCTATTTTACTATCGATCAAATAGAACGATTAATGATAGTTTATTTCAATCTCTCAAGTTTGAAGTTTATATAATAAAAGAAGGAGTAAATTCGCTCTCTATTCACCACTATTGTCAATTTTATGAATCCTTTTTGCCAACACCAAATGATTACCATATATGTTTGCATTACAGTGATTACTCTTATTCGGACATAGAAATTTTATATTCCAAACTTCAATCTTCTTTACGAACACCAGAAACGAATGATGCATTTGATCTATTTAACTCCGCTTTTATAATGAGTGAAATCTATTATTCAGAACAAGTCCAGGAGGTCAATTATGATAACAAAGATCAAGTATTTAGTCTAAAATATTATCATACACCTACTGAAACTATAAAGGTACGTAAAAAATATTGATATTTTTAATTGGCCAAATCTCATAAGTTTACATGATTTAGACTCATAACGAAAACTCAGAAAACAATCTGGAAAAAGATATAGATCAATTCTTCCAAATTTTTGAGGAAGAAATAGATTTTGAGAGAAGTGAAATACTCGGAGACTTTAGTAGATTGAAAACCGAATTAAAAAATATATGCGATCAACACTATGACTTCTTAGAAGATTTTGAAATTCAAGTATGGGGAGAATCCGGAATAAGAAATGTTCCTTATTCTCGACTAAATAAACCAGTATATCCAGGTCGACTTCCAAATTTAAAAATGAATCGATCTTAAAAGTCAATTTAAGAAATATAATGGTTGTTACGAGATAATTCATTATTTATTAGTATTTATAATTCATAACCTTAATTATCTTTTAAAAACTTAAATAGTTTGATAGACATGCACTTATCTTCTACTACATCATGTTCCATTTCATCGAACATATCGAACATTAGAAATATTTGTGATTTGTGGAAACTATTATTCAGATTAGATGTTATATTATTCTTTTGGGTTTTGCTATTGTTCATTTTTGCGATAGCGATAAAATATTCTCGATCTAGTGTATATTATTAATATAGTTCTCTAAGAGGAAATTTTCATAACTAATCGCAAATTTAGGAAGATTTAGCTTCTTATTAGCACTATTAAAGTTTTTTGATGATGGAGTATAGAAAATTACTAATTGTTCATACTTGTCAAAAAACCTTGTTAAAGCCTCGTTAAAGTGCTAGTAAGAAACTAAATCTGCCTAAATTTGCGATTTTATGAAAATTTCCTCTTAGTGACTTATATTATTAATCATATACACTAGAGAATATTTTGTCGCTATTGCAAAAATGATTTTAGTAAAGTAATCTTTTAAAATGAGCTTTATAGCAACAATCTGAATATTTACAAGTTTGGTTAGATGACGAGGCTCAACCACTTTTCCACTTTATCACGGGAATTCTTTGGTACGAGATGACTGGAGCTAATAGTATTTGATAAGTTCATGAGATTTTTCGTTATTCAGAATTGCTGGTGAAATTTTCATAGCAATTCTCTCATGAGTTATTCAACATTAAACACTAGTTTTAAGCCATTATTTAGTCAATT